ACTACTGAAACCAGTACTACCACCAACCTATCCATCAAGTGATATCCTTAGATTACTAACAGCAAGAGACCAGCGAAACTCATTTTTAAAGGGTGCTTAGAAGTTCAGGAACCATTAAAGGTATTTACCTGGGCTTGAAGACTCAACAGAAGGCTAAAAAAGAAAACACAGGAAATGATTAGTTCTAGGTTGAACCTGTAAAAGCGCAATCCAATAATTCATCTGATACAACACAAGTCACAGCAAGTGATGTATCCACAAATAAAGCACCACAAACAGGCGGAAGCAATCTGAGGTAAAGAGTAGCCATTTCATCCTGTCTGTATCAATACTGCTGCATGATTTCAGCAACAAGAACTGGAAGAAATGCCCTTTTTGTGATGCAATAATTGAGTTGAAAGTATAAACTAAAGCAAACCAATTCATTCTGAAAGTAGCGTTACAGTTCCACAGTCAGCTTTAGTATGGCATAAATCAGTGCTGGGGCCAGAGGGGGCAATGCTACTTTCTCTCCATCTCTGCTCATTTTCAATTCTCCCTTTATGCCAGCACAAAACTGGAGGCTAATAGTAGGGATAGTTTAGTTTTTAACAGATCCAGCTTTGATTTAACTCCATGTATTAAACCCCCTTTTCCACAGCCAAGGTATATGCCAGATTACACTGACTGGAAGCACGGTTTAAGAGAAATCATTCTTCCTATTTGAAACTGCACATTATAGGACACACAAATCCCCTGTCCTATTTAAATGAAGGTGCACACTTAACAGGTAATTACAAATTACAATGAGAATTCCTCATAGAACAAAAGGAAAAAGCCATTTAATCTTGTGCTTAAAAACCCAGCTGTGAGAAAAGCAGAATGACATGACTTTGCAAGCAACACTTTCTTCCCAAGAACATTTTAACACAAATTAATATGATCACAGACTACAAAACAAACATGTATCTCCTAAATACAGGGGAAAAAAGAGACTTCTACAACAATTTCTATGTAACAGAGACACCCTTTGGCCCACCACACTGGGTAACTTCACGTTTCTAATCAGAACAAACGTCATCTTCCATGGAATTCTGCTTTCCTTGGCTTCTAACTTTGCCAGTCTGCAGCCTCCCAGGCTGAGATTTGCATGTCAGACATGCAACCCTCATTTGTTTTGAAAATCCAAGCAAATGGCGCAGCTATTTTCAGGAACAGCCCCAGTGAAGTGGGTTTGTCAAAGCTGGAAGACGGATTTTGGCTTCGGAGAGCTGCAGTAGCCCTTTTCCCTGCCACCTCCTGCAAACTGAGATATCGTTTGGTATCGCAGTTAAACCCTAAGCAATAATAATACATAATATGTGATGCTGTCTTCATGGAAAAATGCCTGGGTTTAGCCAGGGAATAATTGGGAAAGCTTCAATTTGCAGATTCATGATAAGTGCTTTTGTGCATGTATAATACTCTGCCTTGATTGTACTCCTACTAGAACTGCAGGAGCTGTACACCCTGAAGTATATGCAAAATTAAAACAAGATACTATGTCAGAAACTGGGAAATGTATACTCAAGTAAAACCTTGTGCTATTATTCCAAGATTTTCCTTCTCCTTGACTTCATCTCACGAGGCACAAGCTGCTTCCACCCACAACAGCCAGCCTAGATGTGTAATGAAGCAAAAACTACAAGTTAAAAAACTCTCTGTAATTATAAAGTTCTTTTCTATTAGCATCTCTAAAAGGCGAGAAAAAATACACCTCCTTAGGAATCAATGACCAAAAGTCACTTACATGTCTGCCTATATTGAGTAAGAGTCTACAACACACAAGTCCCTCTTCATCAGCGACTGTAGTGATAGGACAAGAGGGAATGGGTTCAAACTGAAACAAGGGAGGGTCAGGTTAGATACTGGGAAGAAGCTCTTCCCTGTGTGGGTGCTGAGGCGCTGGCACAGGGTGCCCAGAGAAGCTGTGGCTGCCCCATCCCTGGCAGTGTTCAAGGCCAGGTTGGACACAGGGGCTTGGAGCAAGCTGCTCTAGTGGAAGGGGTCCCTGCCCGTGGCAGGGGTTGGAACTGGGTGAGCTTTAAGTTGCCTTCCAACACAAACCAGGCTGGGATTCTATGATGAGACAGTATTTGGATGCAAACTATGCTGAGGACACTGTACTAGGTCAGTTCCTTGTTAAAAGGGGACCCTGGGATTCCAGGAATACCGGATAGGGTAGGGCTTCTGAGGAAAAGGGAGCGCTCACTCCACTGTGAATTAAGGACAGCAGGAGTTCAAGTAGACAGAGTCTAGCATGGTGTAACAGCAGCAGCTCTGCTCTCATGGGGGAAAAGCCAAACCCAACCCCAAAGACACATCTTGGCTTCCAGACACTGTTCAGGATCTGCCAACAGCCAGAAAGACTTGGAGGAGGCCTCCTGGACCATGAGCTTTGTGTAAAGGGGAACAAGTAACTTCCCCATCTCGATTAAGAAAAGCAGGTTTTGGAGTCCTCAACAAGCAGAACACGGTCTGCTCTTAACTCTGCCCTGCAGCAGTGCAGCCCCCTTTGGATTCAGATACATCTTGTATGGGTTTAGGTGCATGGATTTTTACGTGATCTGTGTAGAAATATATAAATATTGGAGCCTGTTGTTTCAGTCCCACTTGAGGCTTCCATCACCCTTTACAAGTTTTCACGATGGCAAAGGCATCATTCCCATCTCCAAAGACAAGGATACAGAGACAGCCTCAGCCCAGTGATGGAGCAAATATGAATGAGGACAAGGAGGTGATGGGAGCAGTCAGCATGGATTTACAAAAGGGAATTCACACCTGTCCAGCCCAAAAGCCTTCCCTAATAAGAAGACTGGCATGGTGTGTGAAGGGAGCACAGATGACGTGCTCGTCTTCTCTTCAGCAAGGCTTTCCATGCCATCTCCCATCCCACCCTCACAAACTGATGAAGTAAGCCTGGACAAGCAGGGATGTGAATGGAAAACTGGCTGAAAGGCCCAGCTCCAAGGGCTGAGGGACGGGACCCTCTGACAAAGGAGATGCTCAGAGATCCAGGGCTCTTCCTGGAGAAGAGATGCCTCAGGAGCATCTGACCCCATGTCCAGTATCTGATGGAGGGCTGTACAGGAGACTGAGCCCATCTCTTCCCAATGGCATCCAGAGACAAGAGTCAATGGGCGCAAACTGGAATACATTTAAACATAAGGAAAAGCTTTTCTCTCTCTAAGAGAGATGAAACATGGGAACACGTTGCCCCAGGATGTTGTGGTCTCTGCACTGGAGGCATTCAAAACCAGACTGGCAATGGTCCTGAGAAATCTATTTGAGCTGTCCCAGCTCTGAGCAATGGATTGGTCTTGATTATCTCCAGATAACTCCATCTTCAACAACTCTGTATCTAAACCTTCCAGTATACACTGCAATGAAACACTTTCCTGTTGAGAGTAGACACTAAACCACAGTGAGGCAAAAACCAATCTCATACAAGTCACTTTAAGAAACAAAGTTCAGCTTTCAGTACTCCAGAATAGTATGGAGAAGGCATGGGAGCTCAGGCAAGCACACAGCCTGACCTATAGGCTGAAGTACTGCAGAAGCAATCTCCTTCCCAGCTTCAACAGTGTTGCTAAAACACTGCAGCGCCAATGGAGCTCAGCATGACCCCCAGGACTTTTGAACAAGTCCAAGTACCAGTACAATGTCAGTCTACAGAAGGGACAAATACAACCCCCAAGCAGATAATGTTCAAAACCCAGTCACCTCCAGAAACATTAAGTCCATTTCAAGCTACCTCACAGAATTCTCTCTTTTGGGAAGTTCTAGCTCGTTCTTAGCCACAGACTCCATGGCCAGCTTTTAGAACAGCCTCTGGGTCTATTATTTTCTCCTAAGTTTTGCCTACTATAAGTACCTAGTCTGTGGATTACCATCTCTGCCTTTCATGTTTCTAGTCTAAGTGATGCTATGCCCATCATCCTCTGCCTTCTATTCCTAGCTAGATGCAGTGTTACATTACATCTCATCTGTATTAATGGCCAGCTGCTGCCAAAAGTAGTATGTGACCTCTCCCCACCACTCCATGTGCTTCTGCTGCTTGTGCCAGGTCCAGCAATGAGGAAGCTGCAGCATGTGCTGGTTCAGCAAACCAGTCTCAGAGAAAACTAACCCTAGTTTCTCATCCCAGGAGTGAGCCAAAGAGCTTCAGCCTGGGGCTCTGCAGCCCCCAGTCCTGCTGCAAAGAGCCCAGAGCACAAGCCTGGAGCTGTGGCAGGAGACCAGGAGTAACCCTTTCAGTGACAATCTGCTAGCACTGCACATGAGGTGAAAGAGCATCCTATGATTAGAGACAATTCCTGCAACAGCCCATTATTCAGCCCTATTTCCTTGCTCCAGATCATGACTCTGGACAGGGCAGGACAGATGGCTTTGAGGGCATTTGCTTGAGAATTCCCTGGCAGTCACTAAAGATCATATGGCTACGTTGGTGCCATCAGATCTTAAGTCCTAAGCTACGGTATATCAGGATAACAGGAATTCCTGTGAAAAGGATACCCCTTGTACTTCAATGGCTTTTCATTTGCCACTGCAGCAATTCATAGAGAAGTACAAAGCACTTTTTTTTTTCCCCTCAAGGACACTCCTGGGAACAAAGAGCTGCTACCTACAAAATGGTATCCAAGGCCCAGGACAGAAAAACTATGGGACACTTACAATACCCGGGCTGACACAATCCAATTGTTCTATGCATTTGATTCTATTCTCAGAAAAGATAACAATGGCCATTTGTTGTGGGTTTAAAAGAATGAAAAATCATTCATTAACTCCTAATTCATGGAAAAACTCAAGGGACTGACAGAATCCTGCTGCACAGACACACCACTGAGCACATTGTTAATGCTCCAGGTGAACAACAGGAAGGAAATGCCAGTTCTGAGATAGGAAGAATATAAACCTGATGGTAAAGAGAAAAAGACAAGACACTGAGCAGAAACACAGCAGGCTTGGGTGACACTAAAAGCATGTCACTGGTTTTATTCCATGTGTATTTTGAGGAGTCTCACAAAAGACATGCAGAGTAGGTGTTTTCAAAAGGTCAGTGACCAAGATCATATCCAACACATTCTCCAGTGTGTGGATACAGGAATAGATGGGACCGAAGTCTGTCAGTCTTCTTCAGACACCTTTGGACTGTCAAGGGATGAACCCAGCAGACACCTGCAGTGTTACTCCAACAACAAAAACTCACTGGGCTTTTGGATGCCTTTATTACTGTATTCTGTGATGGAAGCTACATGGTAAAAGTAAAGCTGGGCTGGCATCCTGACAGGTTTATTTAATGCAAACAGTTCCGGAGACATCACTTTTGCACAGTGTATTTTTGAACCCACTGCTTCAGAACAGGGGTGGGCTTCCAGGCAATGCCATTTCCATATGCTGGCAGGAGATATTCCTGTTTATTCATAGCTGCTGGGACTGGAATGAGATAATCCAAAATATGAAGGCTGTGGAAGCAATGCACTGAATTTTCTCTTTACATTTCACCTACAGCAGGCAAAGAAACACCTGAACTGTCAGGACATGATACAGCTTCACTCCTACCCACAAAACTACTCCTGTATTTGCCAACATTGCTTATGCTGTTTAATATAATCAATTCATAATGAAACATCTTTAACAGTATCTGCAGCCTCTACAAGACAAATATAACTGAGTAAATTTGAACAGGATGTATCTTTAATAGCTCTTTAAGTGTTACAGAGAACAGTTTAAAACTAAAATTGAATACTGCCTACACTGAAAGCAATAAACCTGCCAAATTCACCAAGTAGACGCTCAGGTCTTTTGAACTCTGCTACAGGAACATCTCAAAGTTTACTTCTGGGTTGCAGTGCCTTGTTTTAGCCACAGAAAACTGGAAATAACCTCACAAGTATTCATGTATGTGGTGTCAGCATCACTAAAGCTACATCTCACTAAGCAGACTAAATGTAAATCACTGATCTGCTCTTAACAACTCACATTTATCCCCAAAAACGCAGACATCCAGTTACATGCATACCATTCAAAGAGTGAAGTTTTGAATACAGATGGTTCAGGCACTAACCCTGCACTTCAAACTCATAACAGGAGTCCTCAGCTAAAAGAATGGTGTCTAAAATCCCCACCTGAGTAAGTAGCAGCCATTTAACAGCCCCTCCAGGGAGCAAAACTAAATGTTGTTCTGGAGAAAATGTCAAGTTAAAATGGGGGGAAAACACCCTCCTCTCAAGAGGGCACATGTCTCTCCTCATAAAGAGGGACTGCAGCACAAAGCTCACAGCTCCAGCCTGTCCCTCTCTCCCTGTGCTGCGCATCCAAACCACCCATCAGCAACATATTGAAGCAAGGAAAAAACACTGATGCCCCTCATTTAACAGTTTCACATGTGAACACTTCTACAGCCAAAACCTAAAGGGACATCTAAGCCCTCTGCTCATGAAATGGAAGCCTTGCTATACGTGGAATTTTTACTTGATTTTAGTTTGGTTGCTGAAGGAGGAAATTCTTGTAGAAGACAAAGATCAAGTGCAATGTTTCAACTCAAACATGTCCATCTAAGCCTTGAAACTACCACAGCACAGGTGCCCTGGCTTGGCCATTCCCTTCCTAGACTTGATTCCACTTAAGAGTTTATAGAAACAACTCTGAGCCCCATGAGTGTCTCTGCTTGGAGGTTTAAGACCAGACTAGAGACAGCCCAAAGCAAGGTGGTCAGACCTCAGAGCAGACCCCGCTGTGGGCAAAGGTTGGCCCAGAGACCCCTTGAGGTCCCTTCCAACACAATTTATTGCATAATCCCAAGGTCTGAGATTTGCAGGTAGCCCTGAAAAGCTACTTACTAGCTCACTTCCCTTTCCCTGCCTGCTGCTTCCAAGAACAACACTGGGTAAAGGTTTGGTTTCTTCTGGAGAAGCTGCCCATCAAAGTGCCTGACTGTAAGAGCCACAGGCTGGGTTTTAATGCAGCTGAGTCAGTCCTGTATCACTCTACCTGTATCTCTGCACCAGGAAATGACTGGAAAAGGGAAGCAGAAGATGCACAGTGCTGCACAGGGAATAGTGTTCATGTGGATCTTTCAGACATTTGGCTTGCAACATGGCTCCGTACATCTGCAGTGGGAAGGGAAGCAAACTGCAGTCTTTCTAAGTCACTGTACCACCTGAGGGCATTTTTCATATGGTAAATACTAGTGAAAAGCCCTAAACAGAAAGGGATTTCAACTGCAACTCTAACAAGAGCAGCAGCTGGTACTTTAAAGGACTAAAACCAAGCTGTGATTCAGGGGAACACAGAAGGATGTCAGGTGATGACTCTCCCTGGGGGGATTTACCTGCTATCTGCTTCACACTCCTGTCAGAGGTTATCACACCACAGCAGGAGCAACAAAGTGAGGGTACAGCCAAAGAGAATCTGCATGAACTTACAGGTTTCCAAAGGGTGATGCTGTCATGCTTTGCTTTCTGCCACACTTGCTGTAGAAGAAGTAGCTTCCAGCAAGAGGAAATAGCACCTTGGAAGTCCAGGAGGGAAAACACAGCAGGACAGACAGATGGCAATGACATAAAACTGTCAGGGAAGCTTCCAATCATCCTTTTGATCTCTGAACTAAAGGGATTCATTACCTCACAGCACAACCTCTGCAAGAGGTACTGAAGGGAAGTCTTAAAATCATCCCAGACTGGTCGGGATTGAAGGGAGCTTAAAGCTCAGCCAGTTCCAACCTCTGCCAGAGGCAGGAACCCCTTCCACTAGAGCAGCTTGCTCCAAGCCCCTGTGTCCAACCTGGCCTTGAACACTGCCAGGGATGGGGCAGCCACAGCTTCTCTGGGCACCCTGTGCCAGCGCCTCAGCACCCTCACAGGGAAGAGCTTCTACCTAAGAGCTCATCTCTGTCTCCCCTCTGGCAGATGTACCCACATTTTTCAGGGTCCTAAGTCAAGAGATAGCACATTTTAGGGTGTTAAAAGCAGCTTCTGTCCAATGTCATGACCACGCTGCTGCTGAATCATCTGCTGAAATCCCATGCTAATATAACATATTTACAATAAAGTGGAACTGATTCTCATTCTCTTTTGAGCAAATGACTAGAACCAGGTACCATCAACTATACCCCAAGGAAGTCCTCCCTGCTCCAAAACCAATGTGCATTACCCGAGGGACTGAGGACTTGCAGTGGAGCTGAGAGAGCTGGGCTTGTTCAGCCTGGAGAAGAAAAGGCTCCTGAAGGGAAGACCTTAGAGCAGCTCCAGTGCCTAAAGGGGCTGCAGGAAACCTGGAGAGGGGCTTGGGACAAGGGCCTGGAGGGACAGGCCAAGGGGAATGGCTTGAACCTGCCAGAGGGGAGACTGAGATGAGCTCTTAGGCAGAAGCTCTTCCCTGTGAGGGGGCTGAGGCGCTGGCCCAGGGTGCCCAGAGAAGCTGTGGCTGCCCCATCCCTGGCAGTGTTCAAGGCCAGGTTGGACACAGGGGCTTGGAGCAAGCTGCTCTAGTGGAAGGGGTCCCTGCCCATGGCAGAGGGGTGGAACAAGATGATCTCTAAGGTCCCATCCAACCCAAACCAGTCTGGGATGCTATGATGATCAGCAAAACCAGACGGAGGAAGCTGCAGCCCAAGGGGGATGCCTTGGTTGACAGGACATTTTGCTCACTACAACTTCAGCAAGAGAACTTCCATTTTCTAGGAGTATTATGAAACACAACCACAACAGTTACTCAGAATGTCATCTCTGTCTTATCTGAAGCACACACTTCAACTGGACATTTTCTAACTCTTTATTGTTCATTTCCATCACAAAATACAGCATCAGCCTCACATTCTTAACAATAGTCTGAAATTCCTCCCTAGAAAGTTTGGAAGTCTATGGAGTGATCACATCCCGCTGTAAGATTTCAGCTGAAACCAGATACACTCATATGCCAAGCAGCACAAGAACACATCCTTATACACAATTTATGACATGACTGGATTAGCAGTGAAATATTAATACAGAATGAGGCCTCTGGCCAGGAACAAGCTCCAAAAGAAATTGAACTTCGCAACAATTCCACTGCCTACCTTAAATCCCCCTGCTGTGTTTGAAGGAACTCTACACCAAGCAGTAAGCTCACAAGCATCAATATTCTATCACACACCACGAGAGTCCACAAAACTCTTCTATTATAACAGAAAAAAACAACTCTTACTTCTCCAAGATCAGAAATGCAGAATGCTAAATGCTGTTGTTTTCCCTTCAAAAGCTCGCAGGAAACCTGAGGGAACACAATCAATAGAATATAACCAACCACTCTGGAGTTTATACTCTTACCAAGGAAGTGAGAAAACTGGATTCCCCACTTTGCATTAGATTCACAGATACCTCTGTGAAGTATTGAACAAAAACTGCCCCAAAATGAAACAAAGCAAAGTTAAAGCTAAGATCAAATGAGGAAAAAATACTTGTGCTCAACAGGGTGGACTGATGTGAATCGCCAATTTCAGTCAGGGTTTAGAGCAGTCAGAAGGAATCCTTGATTTCATCTATTTTGACCTTATTTTGTACCCAGGTGTTACTCAAAAACTGTCCTCCCTCACTGCTAAAACATATCAGTTTGCAACCCATTAGTGATGGTGTTAACTTTAGTACTGCTTTGAGCCTATTCCACAGATATGCATATTGCTTTAAAGTAACAGCACAGCTTAATAAAAATACTGAGACTAAGAACGTAGAGGAGGTTATTAGGAATGGTTATTACAGAACGTATTTCTTAAATATTATGTCCTGAAGTTGTTTCAAGCTGCATGACAAAATGAGAATTTAGCTACATTCATAACGTTTAAAACTCTTCAGCCGAAAGAAGCTTCAGGGAGAAGGAAAGTTTTACCAGACATTATGAATTTATAGGTGACTTATTAAAGCACTGACAAACAGTATTAATAAACTGCTTTTCTGGTCAAGAGCAACAAAACTTTGAGAAATCCAAACAGCAATAAAATACACTCGAAGACATCAGGCTGAGTCAGTCTAACTGTCCATGGACATGAGAAGTGGTCCTGCTCCTCTCAAAGACACAGAATCCCAGACTGCTTCAGTTGGAAGGGACCTTAAAGCTCCTCCAGCTCCAACCCCTGCCACGGGCAGGGACCCCTTCCACTAGAGCAGCTTGCTCCAAGGCCCTCTGTCCAACCTGGCCTTGAACACTGCCAGGGATGGGGCAGCCACAGCTTCTCTGGGCACCCTGTGCCAGCGCCTCAGCACCCTCACAGGGAAGAGCTTCTGCCTAAGAGCTCAGCTCAGTCTCCCCTCGGGCAGGTTAAAGCCATTCCCCTTGGCCTGTCCCTACAGGCCCTAATGAAGAGTCCCTCTCCAGCGTCTTTGTAGGCCCTGTTCAGATACTGGAAGGCTGCCCTGCTTCTTCCATATCTGACACCTTAGGATGCCAATTCCACTTTTTAACCCCACAGAAATTCACTTTGCAGAAGAGAAAACTGAAGTTCTCACTCCAGAAAGATGAATAACCTCATTGAGTGGTGAGAAACACTAGGAGCTGCCATGAAGGTGGTTGATTGCCTGCTCAAGGGATGGGAGAAACGAGACTGTATTTATCCACAACAGCAACGGTGAACAGCTTCCTGCCATCAGGTCAGAGCTGCACGAGACAGGGACACAGGCTCAGGAGAAGCTTATTCAATGCCATAGCTTGGTGTTTTTGGAAGGAGGAATATAGTATCCTCCTGCTGATCCCCACAACTGGCTCTGCTCCCTCACGCCACCCCTCATACCTGCTTGAGTCTGCTGGATCTTTCCATGAGCTGATACAACTGGTTACCCCACAAGAAGCTTTTCACTTCTGAACCAGTGAGCTGGATCAACCCACGGCAGAAGCTCTGGGAGCACCTACACAAACGCAGCAGGAGGAGCAGGGTCTCCCCTCTCAGGCAGCTAGGAGCTGCTAGACCACCTTGACTGTTTCCATACCCCCTCAAGCTACAGTTAACATCTGCTTGAAATTTAAATCAACCTATGCCAATTAAAGGCAACAACAAAATTCGGCTGACAAGAAGCTCCCCGTGAACCAGCTTCAGTGTGCGCTTGAGCCCAGAAGCCCTTCGTCTGCTGAGCTGCACCCCTAGAGCGTGAGCAGCAGCTCAGGGAGGGGATCCTGCTCCTCTCCTGAGCTCTGCGGAGACTTTAGCACAGCTCCAGTGCCTAAAGGGGCTGCAGGAAACCTGGAGAGGGGCTTTGGACAAGGGCCTGTAGGGACAGGCCAAGGAGAATGGCTTTAACCTGCCCGAGGGGAGACTGAGCTGAGCTCTTGGGCAGAAGCTCTTCCCTGTGAGGGTGCTGAGGCGCTGGCACAGGGTGCCCAGAGAAGCTGTGGCTGCCCCATCCCTGGCAGTGCTCAAGGCCAGGTTGGACACAGGGGCTTGGAGCAAGCTGCTCCAGTGGAAGGTGTCCCTGCCCATGGCAGGGGTTGGAGCTGGATGAGCTTTAAGGTCCCTTCCAACACAAACCAGGCTGGGATTCTATGATACTACATCCCTAACTCTCCCACCCCACCTCTGACCAAACAAAACCACCCTCCTTCCCATGCAGCAGCCCTGGTACTCTTCAGAGTTAGTAAAAACCAGCCAACACAAACCCTCACCATTTTCCCATGACTTTTGCCTCTTCAGTACCCTGGCAAGTGCCTGTAGCAACCTGACCGACGCATCTTACCATGGCACAAAATAAAGTAACAGCAGGAATTCAGCACGTCTGGAAATTACAGGCATTATTTAGCTGCCCATCCCTCCAACACAAAAGTCTGACCCGGGCTCTGCAAGTTCTTTGAATCAGAAGATCTCATTCTGACAATTTATTCAGACATTATAATGGCTGAACAAACAAAAAACCCCATTCGCTTTCACCTACCAAGCTTTTCAGTCCAAAAATCTTTTCTTCTCAATAGGCATTAAAACACTCGTGCTTGGGAAAAATATGTATCAGCATTCACTCCTCCACAAAGACTAAATAAGCAGCTGAATGCATGATACAGTGATATTCACAAAGCCTGAGCTGGTCTTAAGTTCAACATGCTTTCTTTCTGATTTAAAACTCAAACAATCTTCTAACGTGGTGGAATACCAGGACTCAAACCAGTCATGTGAGCATGCTTTGAAGGAAAATGAAGTTCTAGCACAGGCAATTAATCCCAAAGCTAAAACCAGTTTAATATATAATCAAAATCTTTTGGGTTTGGTCTGTCCTTTACTCAAACTGGTGCTTCTGTGAAAGTGAAATGCAGTTTTTGTTAATTTAGTTTCAGTTTCTGGCCTCATTTACTCATTACCCAGGTTCAGAGCTCCTGTCTGAAGAGCCTTCCTGTCAAAGGCAAAAAGGTTCATATTGATATCGTTTAATTGTTGAGGTTTCTATCTCCAGCATTAAATCCTGGCTGATTCTTTACACCTAAAATCATTTTCCTATGGGATGAGTTCCTGTGCATCCCTTCAGAAGAGCTGGAGTGATACTTTCCACTGGGGAGCGATGGGAAGAGGGCAGGAGACACAACAGCAGCATTATTTTTCCACCCACATTTTCAACCCAGGCTGATCCCAGGCCCCTTGTGTGCTGTGACAGCCAAGTCCCAGGGCTGCCTGAA